TATGGACAAATACCAGGATATGAAATTGAAATTGAATGGTAACTAGAATTTATGTATACAAGCTATGACTAATGGAAAAGAAAAGGAAGAGGGAACACATTTATAAGGCCAACAACAAAACAAATCAGTTGGCTGAAATTTAACAACAAATATGTAAAACATATTTATATAAGAAACATTGGTAAACACTCCAAAAGACACACAGATGATTTTTTAAAATAGTAATATATCCTTGGAATGGTGACAATTAAAATTTAAAATTTAAATTTAAAATTGGTCAGTTTAAACCAAATTTTAACTTTAAAATTTAAATTTGGTCAGTTTAAACCAAATAGCTGCACTTAACTGTATGCCAATGCAAATAACACTAGTTTTTTCCTCCTCAAGAGCTAGTTAAGATTATTTCTATAATACCATAAGCAAGCAGGAGAGGCCAAGGGTACTCAGGACTTGTATGTCATTGCCTAAAGACAAAACTCAGGACCACACAATTCTCTGTGACAAAAAAGAGAGTTTGCACCAAAATATTTAAAGATTTTTAACTTGAAAAACAAAAAATAAAGTCTATAAAGTTGAAATAATGTCACAGCAGTGCCCTCAAGAAAGTTGGGTGAGAGAATGCTCACAGGAAACACCAGCTTACCAAGCAAACAATGGGAGCTGAGCAGACTTGTTTTTTTTCTTTTCCCTATCTGTGACTTCTCAAATTAAAATCCTGGAAATTATGGACTGGTCATTATTGCTGGGAATGTGAATTTCTTTATGTAGTGGATTCAATAGACATAGGGTCTTCTCTGGTTCAGTTACATATTTGGTGATTTTAGCAAAGTCGCTTAATCTTCCTGAATTTTGACGGCTCCAAGGTAAGAGATAAGGATCATTCTCGGCTTGTGTATTGGATTAGTAATAATGTATGCATTGTACCAATGAAAGCTCTTGATAGGTGTATAGTTAAGAGCAGCTATTTATTAAGTTAATAGCAAAAATGGTACAATTAGCAAGGGCATTAGCTGCAGAATCACTGAATAGAGCTAGATCAGAGCTGCTTGATGGAGCACAAACTGGACACGAGTGACAATGTAATCATGTTACTTTTAGAGTTAAATTTATTAGAGAATGAATTTTAAAAGCCCACAAAAGGAAAATGGAAAGAGTCAGAATGAAGAGCGAAAACTAAGTGGTAGGAATTACTGACTCGGAAAAGATCTGGAGAGCAGCTTTTTTAGAGAAGGGATCCCAGAAATTGTTTGATGTGCTGGTTAAAGAAATATATACATTTGACAAAGCAAATCACACTGTATACTTAGTGCACTTCCTTTTACCATGTATAAATTAGCTCCTAATCTTTTTCTAAAAATGAGATGACCCTATACATCAATAGCATGGTTAGAATTTTTTCAAAACGCAAAAAGATAATAAATACTAAGTGTTAGTGAGAATGAAGAACAATGGGAATCCTTGTAAATGGCTGATGGGATTATTGATTGGCACAAGCAACTTGAGAAACTGGATGTTAGCAGTATGTACTAAAACTAAACAAATGCATACTCTATCACCTAGTATGACACAAGCATATTTACCAAAAGACATGTACAAGAATGTTCACAGCAATGCTTATCATAAATAGCCAAGACCAGGATAGTCTACACGTTTATCAACAGCAAAATGGATAAATAAAATGTAGTATGTTAATTCAATAGAATCTACATAACTCTGAGAATGAACCTCTATATACCTCTATATATACCTCTATGCAACAACTTGGGTGAATATAAAAAACATTCGCAAAAGAAACAAAATACAAAAGAGTACACAACGTGTGGTTCATTTATACAAAGTTTAAAATCAGGCAAAATTAATCTGTAGTGCTAGAAGTCAAGTGATTATTTTTAGGAATTGTAGGGACTGGTGTGAGGAGAAAGAGGCACTATGGGAATAATTTTTTGTTTCTTGATTTGGGTGCTGGTTGCATGGGTAGGTTCACGCTGTGAAACTTCAGTAAGCTGTAAAATTAGGATTTAGGTCTTACTTCAAAAGATAGGTTACACAGAATTTTAAAAACCTTACAGCACTGACCCCAGGAAAACTGCATGTGAGAAGGAATTAGAAGCCTTATGTGAAGGCATGTCCTATAGCTGTAGTGAAGGCAAGTCCCAAATCCTATCCACATTAGAGTGAGCTATGTGCCAGTCAGCAGATCGCTCAGAGGCTGGAGAGATCGAGCTCAGTACAGTTTGAAGGTACCTTGCAGAACACTGGGCTTGAGCAAGATTAATTAGAGATTCACTCCCTTATATGAATAGCAATGATTGTCATATTTCCAGATAGGCCTGCTCCATTAGGTGTGAGAAGCACATTTAAAATTGAATTGATGAATTTTATTTGCTTCATCCATAAAATTTAAGATCTCCATGGCAAGCAAAACAGGATTTTTAAACAGTACAGTTAGATTATTTCCTTCTAACTTATTTGTTTCCTTCAATATAGATATTTGGGATTTTTCTTAACCACACTTAAACATGCTATTTTTCTGGTTGATTTTTCCCAGAGAAATAAAGAATAAATATGGAGATGGAAACTCTCCTGAAATCTGATGTTATTAAATTTCCTGTGTTCTCCTCTGTTTGATAATAATATCAAATGGAAAGTACCTGACCTACTTCACTCTCAGTTTACAGCTACCAGGTGTTCCTAATACTTTAAGAATGTAATTACAATCAAAGACAAATTGGATTAGTCTATTCCCAAAGCTTCAATTTGAAATAAAATATGCAAGACAATTATTTGTTGTTCAAGTATGTTTAGTAACATGAGGAGTATAAAGGATTGAAGTAAATATGATATCTAATTTCTCAGGACATAGGATTTCTGAAACTAGGTCATGACCCTGTGAAAATGAGAAGACAAGAACATTCTGTTTTACAAAGGCTTTCGGTACATTATATAATCTGGAGTTAGTACATTCCAGAGGCCCTTTATTCTTTGCTTATCTGTACTGACTACTTAGTAAGCCTCAAACCCTGGGCTTTTGTCATTTCAGAGTTCTTATGTAGTTTGCTGTAAACAACATTTAACATAAGTACAATTCCTTATAACTGACATAGCATACCCATATACGATATGATCATCCCAAACAGTACAGTGGAATAATTGCACCCATTTAAAAATGTAGAAATATCGTGACTCAGAGTTTAAATCACTTGCCTGAAATTACACAGCAAATGGACCTTGAACCCAGAACCTCATGTACTTTCCAAGAACCTCCACTATCTTACTTTTTGTAATTCTCTTACTTAAGGAATAGAGACTGTTATCTCACTCAATACCTGCAGTAGTTGGTATGTGGGCATCTATGGGCAGACACAACTATTATAGGACACATTTCAAATGTCTTGGGAAAAAAACCCTAAATTTAAGTCAAAATATCTCATTGAGGCTTATGAAATTTGGAGTCCGAAGAAAAATAAAATATAGTTAAGTGACATTGTAATGAGTATAAAAACACATTTTACTTCCAAAATTCTAATTACCATATCTTTAAATGTATATACAAATTTTAATTATCTTGCATATGTTTTATTTACATATGTGTGGTATGTTTAACATCTTCCCTCTAGACAACTCCATGAAGAAATTTAAAAGTTTAAGTAATGAAAAATTGGATGAAGTATATTCCAAAATCCAGGAAAGAAAAAATATATACACAAATTCTGCTTGTGAAATGTAAGATTAAGGTCACGATACAGTGAGACTATTCCTGCTTCTATGACTTGCCACAGATCCTTCCACTTGCTCTAATGGATGTCTATAATGCTTTTCCTCCAGGGATCCCAATGGCTCTCACACTCACTGCCCTCAGGTCTTCATTTGAATGTCACCATTTGAGACCTTCCCTAGCCACTGTATTTAAAAGTGTAACCCTCCTCCTCTTTTTCTTCTACATAGCATATATGCATAGCATATACACTATTGTGATATACACTATGTAGTAAAAAAATCAAAGAGATTTTGATCTGTTTTGTCAACTGTACCCAGAAAAGTGACAGGTAACGAGTTGGTGTTCAATAAGTACTTTTATTTTTATACAAAAAAAGCATGGTAGAAGAAAGGGAAGAGGGGAGAGAGGAAGGGAGGAAGGGAGAGAAGAAGGGAAGGAGAAAAAAAGGAAAATAAAGAGTGGGAGGGAGGCAGGCTGAAAGGTATGTAAAGGACAATATTTTGTGTATTATCTTTGTGAGAAAGTTACCATTGGTAGTATCAACGGTTAATTTCTGCTGTTAATTAATATACCTGGTGCTTACCACTAATAAATCTAGAGAAAAAAAAAAAAACTTCAGGAGAGAAGAAAATAGAAAAATAAAGGAGGGTTCATGAGAATCAGAAAGATAAACAACCATCCGGAGCTGTTTGCATAATTTACTTGATCCTCATAGGAATGTGCGAGGCAAGGAAACTTGAGGATTACCCAAGGTTACAGAGAAATTAAGCTGGAGATGAGAAGCCAGTCTAACACCCGAGGAGCCTCAGGACAGAGAAATAGTGAGAAATGGGGGAGGTTATAAACTCAGGTTTCTAATGCTTAATCCTAGGCTTTTTGAAGTTTTCTGCAGACAAAGAAAAGAATGAGGAATGAAGGAGGGAAAGGAAGTCATGCATCACTTCAAAATGTTTGCCAGGTATTTTTTAGCAGTACCGTAATTCATCCAAGTAAAGGCACTTTCGTTTATATTTGAAGACTGATTTACTCATTGAAAAGCCATTCTCTAAATCTATTTAGACAAGTTTATTTGCAGTGAAGCACTAGCATTCATATTAATACCACCATTACATTTTTAAGAAATTTATCCAAAATGAATCATCTTGTATGAGAGTATTATATATAGTAAATATATTTACCTCAGCCTGGCATGTGCGGTGGGACAGAAACCATTTACTGTTTTACTAACAAGAATAAATGGGGTATCTGGAGACATTAATAAGGGAATATTTTAGAGACTTACCTAGAACTTTGCTGTAGTATGAATTCCATTCTCCCCAGTAGGACTGAAATATGTAGTCTTGCAGAGGATAAGAGAGAGTATTTTTAACCCTCTCACCAAAGGTCATCTGGTCAGTGAGCTCTGACAAAGCTGCAGGTACATAGGAGGCAGGTGCTGGGATTTTCCCACAATGTCTCTCAACTGTGGAGGCTGGAGAGAACCTCAATGTGTATACAAATGGAATTCCTAATTTCAGAGCAACCAGGTCCCCACAGATAGTTACTGGATCTGCTACTAACACATCAAAACTACCTTTCTGAAGTCTTGCCATTAACTTGGGATTGTTTAATACTCCATCACAGATTTGTATATTGATTCGAAAAAAAGTATCTAGAAGATTTCCTAGCTCCTTATAGAAAGTCCAGAGTGTGAGAGGAGTTGGTCTGTGGTCCATCCACAGCATTATCATATGTTCAACTAAGGAATCTACATTGCTGTCCGTATAGGAGACAGGTATCACCTCAAAATTCACGGGAGAATCAGGATTAGAGTTGATTAATAGAGTTGTTGATGAAGCCAGTACAGTCACATTGTGATTTCTTTGAATCAGCTCTTCTAGAATGATCTCAATATTTAACCAATGACTACCATCCGTTGGCCAAATTAGCACATTTCCACTTAGAACAATTTGAGTCAAAGTCAAATTGAAAACCAGCAGCTGGACAAACTTCTTAGGCATGGTGATATCCATTATGAAAACCATCCTACTGTAGATCTTTTAAGATAAAAAGAAATTTTCAAAGTTTATTTAGGTAGATTCTTTTTCAAATAAATGATGTTTAATGTGATGGGTATACTCATTCATAAGTCACTTGATCTATAGATTAAAAGGAAACTGATATAATTCAAACCATTATATGCAATAATATTATTATTCTAACAACAGAAGTAAATCAAATCTTATTTGAAAGCAAAAGAAGAAGTCAAGTTATAAGCCTGGTGTCTATGTACTCTGTGATAATAATTATAAATTATATATAATTATATAAGTACAATTATATATATAATATATATAAATTATAAATAATTATAAAATGTGTCTTTAATTTGTCTTTCCTAAAATTAAGTTAAACAAAAAATAATAGCAGTTGTTACTGCTAAAACTTCTGTCTCAAAACTTAGAGTAACTTTAAGTTAGGTATCTTATTACAAGGCATTTTTTTAAAAGATTTTATTTATTTATTTGACATAGAGAGAGACAGACCACAAGCAGGCAGAGAGACAGGCAGAGAGAGAGGGAGAAGCAGGCTCCCTGCTGAGCAGAGAGCCCGACGTGGGGCTCGATCCCAGGACTCTGAGATCATGACCTGAGCTGAAGGCAGAGGCTTAACCCACTGAGCCACCCAGGAACCCCTCAAGGCATTTTTATGTACATTGTCTAATTCAGTCCTTTCCAGAGTCTTGTGCATCATACATTACTTGCTATATTTCATAGATAATGAAATTAATATTGAGTTGCATATCCAAAAACATATTACAACGTAGGGCAACTGAGACTATTATCATAACATCATTTGAGAATTGCTAGATTTCCACGGTCTTATGCCTCATCTTTGTAAGTTTTAGAAGTTTTGGCAATGCACAATGACAAGCATTATTATTACTTCTCCATGGCTCATATTTAGGAAGAAAAACTAAAAACAACCTTCACTTAAAAGAGATTTTCTCAAAGATTACAAGATATTTTCAATTAATTGGATTATAGGACAAATTTTACACATTTGTCAGAGGAGAATTTTCTGATAAAGCATATTGATAATCATCTTCTCTTTGCGGGGAATTTTTCATTTTCTTTCATACGATATTTTCATATGCAAATCAAGAAGATAGGATCTAGCACCACAAGAAGTCACACGCTTTTTCATTCAGAGCTGTGTAGTAGCTTAAATTGGGTGGACACTAGAGTTCAATTGCCCCAGATTCAAAAACTATTCTTTTACAAGCCTTGTGACCCTGGAATAATACCTGGACCCTTTCAGCCTTGGATTTTTCATGCAAAAATGAGAGATAGTGATGTTATATTACTTTGTGGATTAGCAATAATATCTGCAAAGTTGCTTTGTAAACTGCTTAGTTCAAAGCAAAAGTTTAGTAATGTAGTTTAATAAATTTGCCTGAAGATTGATCAGTGAACCAACAGGTTAGCTACAGAATGACCAGCTAGACCTAGATATAATGATATCTGTCTGTTGAGATTTTTAGTAAATGCCAAACTCTATAAGGGCAACCATGTACTGATGCTATTTTAAAAGTTAAGGAAATCAAAGAAGCTAAGAGTTGCCATTAAAAGGAGAAAATAAGAACAAATAATGTAATTAAAAGGATAGAAACCAGGAGTTAAATGTCTCCTCTTCCTGTAAGCATTTCAATGAATAGCTAGAATTTAGCTATGCTAATTCATTTCTCATTGTCTCTTGGACTGGGAGGTCGTCCCAAAGGCCATAAAGATGTCCCAAAGATGGCTTGGAAACCATCTTTCATACTATTTTTGAAAATTTATAATCAACTCCTTAGTAAGCTTAGAGTTTTAGCTTCACATTAGAACTTCAACTTTTTTTTAGTTCCTTGAATGCATCTAGTTAATGCATTCTTGAAAGCTTAAAAGTCGATGTACTTTTTCTTCCCCTTTGTTTTATTGTATATTAACTGAGTATCTTTTTAGAATTTTCTTTTAGCTCTGAGTCTCACATCAAATGCTTCACCACTTTCTTCATTGTAACCTCAGGCAAGTTTCTCACCCTCCTCATTACAAAATGGTAGAGAATGCTGGTGCCTGTTTCTTGTAGATGTGAGGACTGAATGAAAAAAAAAATTGTGTACATTATTTGGAACATCATCCGTGCTCAATAAACGTTAGCTATATATGATAAAGTAAGGAGAGACTCATACTTTAAAAACTACCAGTTTAAACAGATCTTATCACTTAGATGCACTTCCTTTCTTCTGCTTCTCAGATAATGGTCCTCTGCGGTGCCCGAGTTTTGGTGCAGGTATTCCTAAACACCACAAGTTCCTCTACAGGTGTCAGTCATGCTCAATCTTGAGGCACATCAAGAATGATATGTTATGGGATGTCTGGGTGGCTCAGTTGGTTCCTTCAGCTCAGGTCATGATCCTAGGGTCCAAGGATCGAGTCCCGCGTCCGGCTTCTCACTCTGCAGGGATCCTGCTTCTCCCTCTGCCTGCTCTGCCTGCTTTTCCCCCTGCTTGTGCTCTCTCTCTCTCTCTCTCTCTCTCTCTCTTAAATAAATAAATAAGTAAAATCTTTAAAAAAAAATGATATTTACTAACAATGTATTCAGTACCAAGGTTCACAAGTGACTTATTTTAAGAAATACACACATAGAAAATTCAAAATTATTTCCATAAAAATGATCACCTCCATTCCCTTTCATTGAGTGACAGCAAAGAGTGACAGTGCCCTTGAAATTGTGCATGTCTCATAGCAAATTCCTTCTTGGATGGCATGCTTATGGCTGTCATCCCACTCATGGGTCATTATGAAAAAGGGGATGCTACCAGAGGTCATTTGAAAGATTCTAACCAAACAAAATTAATTTACATCAAAAAATAGAGGAAGAAAGGAAGGAAGAGAAGATAGAGGGAGCAAGAAAAAGACTGGGAAGAAAGAGGGGGAAAAAAAGTCCAAAACTAACATGTAGTACTCTTCAGGTAAAGAACCCCAATACATTTTTCTCTCCTTTAAAATGACTACTGGAAATCAAGCACTTTGGGGATATACACATTCACATTTGTTTCATTTCTAGCACTTTATTTTATGTTAATTACCTTTGATCAGTGTTTAGTTCATGTAAAGATCTGAATATTATAGTCATAATTTTTTTGAAGATGTGTTGTTTTTTCTATTTAATATATTTATAGGAAAGTCTGTTGTTATTATAGACAGCGTTAATTCTTAGAGAGTAATCATCTGATTACTCATGTATAATAATACATTATGTATTCAAATAAATCTAGCATATAAAGATCATTCACACAAAAAAGCTATTTGTTTCTATACTGGCTGAAGGATAAAACTGTTGATAGCAATAGGTAATGTTTATGGATTATAAATATTTTTACTGGCATTAAAATGCTACATTTTTTTTTCTTAAATGTTTCTCCAATTTTGGTGGGTTTTTTTGTTGTTAATATGTATATGAAAACAAAATTTACCTGGTTCAGCTTTAAATAAATATATTTGAAATCTGCAGAAGCCTTTTCTTACTTTCAGTTAAGTACAGCGTTTTAAGTTCTATTAGGACCAGATACCTATCCTCAGGCAACTCGCCCCAGGCAACAGTCAAATGGAAACTTTTGCCTAAAGAAATAGCAAGTTACCTAGTGATAACACAAACCAATTAAACTCCAGTTAGCAAATTTAATATAAATAAGAAATAAAACAGCAGACTTCAAAAGCTAAATCTAGAAATAGGAAAAGTAACTGAGAATGTTTAAACCTAAAATATTCTGAATAATGGATTTACGCCCGTAATTTTAAAAAAGAGAGAAAATTTTTCCAGCAGTTTTGGTATCTGGATTTCATCTGAAAATATTTTCTCCTACTAGTCACTATATAATTTTATTTTAGCAATTGATATTTCACAACCTCAATAATCTCATCTGTGATAGTTTTCTCTTCACAAATTCATTGCAAAAATTAAGAGATATAACATGTGATGGACTTATTACAGTGTCTAGTGCACAGGAAGAAATCAACAAATACTGTTATTGCTATCATGATTTTGAAATATGAGTTTGAACCAATACCCAAATGCTGAAATAAAAGAAATAATTTAGACATTATAATATCTGATTCTAGCAATTAGCAGAGATTAAAGACTCATTCTCAGATTATTGCATTCCACTGCAGAAAAGTAATCTTAAAGAAAGTTGTCCAACTTATTTACTCAGGTGTGACAATTTGAGACCTGAGTGGATATGGGTTCATTGCAATGGCTTTGTTTAAAGCATTAAAAAAAACATCAAGTTATACATTGGAAAGAAGTGATTTTTAAAAGTCGGTTCCATTTATCATTCTCATTTATCATCCTACATGTACAAAGGCTTGCACGAAAATGAATCACTCTGTCACTTCAGTACTTTTGTTTCTTACCTGGTCTTTTGAATATGAGTGTGTTCATGTCCCTGACATCAATAAGAATATCGTTCATAAAACAAACTTAAATAGTCATTTTAAGTCAAAGAGTGTAATTTGATTAGAAACATGATATTATCAAAATCGGAGGATAAGAAGATTTTTAGAAACTTCATGACATTCCCATGAACAAATTGTTAAGAAAGATTAGTCTCATGTCATGATTGGGAAAAATCATGTGGTTTCATTACCAGTATTCACTTACAAGCACAATACAATGGAACATGTGATTCTGAGACTGCCAGCATGAGGAAGGTTTATCTGGGGAATAATGTCACTAATATGAATAAGAAGCATTATGATCTTGATAATTATTATTCCAAGATTGAGGACAAGTCGATGATAAAAACATAAGTAATGAGATAAACATAAACCTATATTGTGACTAAGGTGTTACATACACACTCCTCTATTTCATTAACAGAGATGCTGCACATATTCAGATATCTCTGTTTACTACACCTAGGAGCAGATTAGAGAGTTTCTGCAGGTCCTGACAGCTTCATAAAATTGCCATTTCGTCATCCTTTTTCTTCATTTTTAAAGATCCAGTTTTAGCCCTACAATATTGACCATTCACTTCTATCTTTGTAAGCTAGTTTATAATCAAGGTAGTAGCTATGCTTATTTTCTCTGAGTAACAGAACAGCTCAGTTTTCATTTATATCCCAGGCGATAAACATATATTTTTGAATTTGGGGACAAGTATTTAGCATACCCAGAAAAGATGATGAGCCAATTATAATTAACGCTTCTTTTTAAAAAATATTTTATTTATTTATTTGACAGAGAGATCACAGGCAGGCAGAGAGGCAGGCAGAGAGATCAGGGGAAGCAGGCTCCCTACTGAGCAGAGAGCCCGACATGGGGCTGGATGCCAGGACCCTGAGATCATGACCTGAGCCGAAGGCAGAGGCTTAACCCACTGAGCCACCCAGGTGCCCCACAATTAACACTTCTTTTAATAATCCTTGCCAAAGAAACCACACTTATATGGTCAATTAAGTCATTATGAAAAAGCCAAGAACACACAATGGGTAAAGGACAGCCTCTTTAATAAGTGGAAAACTGGACAGCTAAATGCAGAAGAATGAAACTGGATCACTTCCTTATACCACACATAAAGACAAACTGAAAATGATTTAAAGACTTGATCAATAAGAACTGAAAGTGTAAGACTCCTAGAATAAAATATACGTGGTCAGCTCCTTGACATCAGTCTTGGCGATGATTTTTTGGATTTGACACCAAAGATAACAAAAGAAAAATAAGCAAGGGCAACTACATCAAACTGAAAAGCTTCTACATAGCAAAGAAAACCATCAACAAATGGAAAGGCAACCTGCCCAATGGGAGAAAATATTTACAAATCATACATCTTATAAGAGATTAATATCCAAAGTATACAAAAACTCATTTAACTCAATAGCAGAAAAAAAAAAAAAAGGCTAGAGGACATGAATAGAGATTTTTCCAAAGAACAAACAAATGGCCAACAGGTACATGAATAGGGGTCAATATCACTCATCATTGGGGAAATGCAAATTTATTGATTGATTGTTATTTATTGATTGTTTTTTTTAAGTTTTTATTTAAATTCTAGTTATTTAACATATAATGTAATATTGGTCTCAGGAGTTGAATTCAGTGACTCATCACTTACATATAACACCCAGTGCTCATCACAAGTGCCCTCCTTAATACCCATCACCCATTTAGCCCATCCCCTGCCCATTTCTTCTCCAGCAACCCTCAGTTTTTACTCTGTAGTTAAGAGTCTCTTACGGGTTGTTTCCTTCTCTTTTTTTCCTTTACCCTATGTTCATCTGTTTTGTTTCTTAAATTCCACATATGAGTGAAATCATATGGCATTTGTTTCTCTGACTGACTCACTTCATTTGCCATAATACACTCTAACTCCATCCATGTTGCTGCGAGTGGCAATATTTTATTCCTTTTGATGGCTCAGTTATACACACACACACACACACACACATTTGGGCTCTTTCCATAATTTGGCTATTGGCTATTGTTGATAATACTGCTAAAAACATCAGGGTACATGTGACCCTTTGAATCAGTATTTTTGTACCCTTTGGATAAATACTTAGTAGTGCATTTGCTGGGTCATAGGGTAGCTCTATTTTTAACATTTTGAGAAACCTCCATACTGTTTTCCAGAGTGGCTGTATCATTTTCCATTCCCATCAACAGTGTAAGAAAGTTCCCCTTTCCCTTCATCCCCATCTGTTGTTTCTTGTGTTGTTAATGACCTCACACCTATTAGAATGGTTATTATCAAAAAGACAAGGTACAACAAGTATTGGCAAGGATATGGAAACAGGGGAACCCTTGTGCACTATTGATAGGAGTATAAACTAGCACAGTCACTATGGAAAACAGTATAGAGATTCCTAAAAAACTTAAATAGGACCACCATATGATCCAGTAATTCTACTTCTAGATTATACCCAAAGGAAACAAAACCACTATTTCTAAGAGATAGCTACACCCCCATGTTCACTACAGCATTATTTTTATCTACAATGGAGATTAAAATTATAAATTATTTATTCAAGCATAAAAAAGAAGAGAATCCTGCCATTTATGGTAATGTGGGTGGACCCTGAGGGCATTATGCTAAGTGAAATAAGTCAGAGAAAGACAAACAATGTATAATTTCATTTATATGTGGAATATGCAAAAAAAAAAAAAGCACCCCAACTCTGATACAGAGAACAGATTGGTGGTTGCTAAAGGTGGAGGGTAGGGGTGGAGGAAATGGATGAAGAGGGTCAAAAGGCACAACTTCCAGTTACAAAATAAATAAATCCTGGGGATGTAATATATAGCTTGGTGACTATAGTTAATACTGTATTGTATATTCAAAAGTTGCTAAAAGAGTACCTCATAAAAGTTCTCACCACAAGAAAAGATAATGTAATTATGTACGGTCACAAGTGTTAACTAGACTTACTGTGGTGATCGTTTGTTTATATATACATACATAGAATCATTATGTTTTACACCAGAAAATAATATATTATATACCAATTATAACCCCCTCAAAGAAACCATCTTAATCTCTTCTTCAGGCCTTTTAACATGTCCTAACCAATTAGCCATCAGCTTTTATTAATTTTTCATGATAAACAGCTAAAGCAAATTGAATGGTATCTAGCTCCTAGACAGTATTGTAAGATCTTTTTATATGTTAACTAATTTAGTCCTTACAGTAGCTCTGTTAGAGATGGGGTGAATAAATGCAGATGTAAAGAGAATTAATTGCTTCTCCATGGTCATACACTTGTAAGTGGAAATTGTTTATCAACAGCCTGCACTCCTGATTGCCTTACTATGGGAGTCTCATCTGCATTATTTTTCTCCACTTATAAGCTACTTCACTAGTACATGCTCTTACCACATCTTTCCTGGAGTTATGCAGAAGCTTATAAGCTAACATCTTTTCACACCAGGTCCACATCTATCCAGATATTTTATGTTAGATGCAATCTAGTCATAATACATCCCTTTAAACTGTTCTCAGTTGTTTGTAGACAAAAACCAAAATGCTTAGCATGACATACAAGAGACTTTGAAAATACTTATTTGAATTAACTAATTTTTGCAAGCCTGACATCTTCATTGTTCTTTCTCATGCCTCCCCACCTTGCACTTTGACCATCATAAATAAAGAATCATCAGTAATACCCAGCACACATAATGCTACTTTCAGATTCCACATTGGACAGTTTCTTTCTCCACCCTGGTTTTGCAGAAAGATTCATATTAACTATTTAAATTTTTTCTTGTGTATCACCTCAACTCTAGAATGTCACTCTCTCCTATTACATTCTGCCCAACTCTTTTATACTCTCTGTTCTTTATACATATTTTCATTACCCACATTGTTCATACTGTAAATATCCCCTCTCTTGTATGACTTCTCTGCTTGACTGAAATTCTTGAAGTCAGGATCTTCATCTTAGTCCTTTTTGTAACTTCCCTACCTAGGGGGCACCTAGTAAACAGTAGGAAATACATGAACAATGAAACAATGATCAGAGATTATCCATACTCATGTAAGTTTTTAAACACACACACACACACATACACGTCTATATTAGTAATGGACTTATAGGAAGTCTAATCTCTTCCAACTTTCTCTACTCACCACTGAAATTTCTAGGCAATTTCTAACATCAATGCAATATCTGAATGAGAATTCAGTCCTGTTTTAAAACTTGCTCTATGTCATCCATAAAAGTACTTAGCTGGTATCTTTGAGTCCATAAAATTGGAAAACAACACACTATAGTTACAAAGCATATTGTTTTTGTCTTCCTCCCTGTTCTCAAATGATACTAATAGATAGTTAGCAATATGTAGGATTGAAAAAAAAAAACTACAGGGAAATTAAGAGGTGATACAAAACTCTGTTCAAATTCAGGTATTAATTTAAAAAATTACATACCCAAAGCTTCACTATAGTAGGAATCCCATGATTTCCAAAGAGTGTCAAACATGTAGTCCTGCAGATGGTAGGAGATGAAATTTCTTATTCTATCAGTGAAAGACATCTGGTCGGTGAGTTCTGATAATATAGCAGGTACATAGGAAGGAGGGAATGGTACCTTCCCACAATGCTTTTCCACTGTTGAAGCTGGAGAAAACCTCAAGGAGAACATAAATGGAATTCCCAGTTTTAAAGCTACTATATCACCACAAGGAAATACTGGATCTGATATTAGGACCTCAAATTTGCTTTTCTTCAGCTTGTCCATCAGGTTTTGGTTTTTGAGAACACCATCACAGATTTCTCTAGACAGTATGTGAAAGTCCTTGAGGACTCTAGCTATCTCCTGATAGAATCTCCAAATGGTTGAAGGAGATGGCCTATTTTCCATCCATGTCAAGACAAAGTCCTTGATGATTCCTTCTATTCTTTCTTTGCCAAAGGGCACCTTATATATTTCAAACATTAGAGATGGTTTAGAGGCCGGCGAGATGAAAAGTGCACCAGAGGCAACTAAGACAGTCACGTTATGCTCTTTTTTAATCAATTCATCTATAATTATCTTAATGTTCAACCAATGACTCCCTTCCATTGGCCAAATCAGAACATTGCCACCAAGAGTGATTCCTAAGAGACTAATCTTAAGAGAAAACAGCAGAATGTTCTTGTTTAACATGATGTATCTTGATGTAGAAGACTCGATGAAATGTGACATAAACGAATCTCTCTGCTTTTCAAGCAAAAAGAAAAGGCAAATTATTTTTCAGTTTTGATTCAGAACAATTGACACCCTTAAGAGCCTTCTCTTGACCAAATAATATTACTCATGGTATCACCTATTTTATGATAATTACAGGCTTGGGGTAACATGTGTCTTACTTCTCTACCTGTTGCTTTAGCTTCGGTTATGATTCTCACTCTCCGATCATTTTCTTAAACATGATCCTTCAAACCTTTCATTGCATCTCATAATTGTGAAATTCTTACTCTTAAATTCCTTGAAGTCACTCTATATCTTAACTCTGCACTCAGGCCTGGGTACTGAAATATTAGATTAGGTCAGAACTTGCTCAGAAATGTAGACATACCAAGGCTATAGATTTTCCAATATTTAATACATTTAATACAATGTCATTAGCAACAATTAAATATTATTAGAGTGGTAATTGGTTCTTTTTTTAAGAGATTTTATTTATTTACTTATTTACTTATTTGAAAGAAAGAGAGACAGACAGAGGTAGTGAAAGCAGGTACATGGAGGAGAGGGAATGGAGAGGAGAGGGAGAAGCATGTTCCTTACTGATCAGGGACCCTGATGCAGGATTTGATCCCAGGACCCTGGGATCAGGACCCAAGCTGAAGGGAGATGCTTAACAAACTGAGCCACCAGGTATCCCTATAGTAACTGGTTCTTAATAGATAAGATTGTTGCAAAGAAAATACTTATAAAAATGTGAAGTATAAGCAAATAGAGAAAGTGTAATTTTTATTACTACTTTAATAATACGTTTAGGAACATTTTTTTTAATTTTTATTTTTTTAAACATTTTATTTATTTATTTATCTGACAGAGAGTCATAGCAATAGAGGAAACACAAGCAGAGGGAGTGGGAGAGGGAGAAGCAGGCTTCCTGTGAAGCAGGGAGCCCAATGTGGGGGCTCAATCCCAGGACCCTGAGATCATGACCTGAGCAGAAGGCAAACACTTAACCTACTGAGTCATCCAGGTACCCCATGTTTAGGAAAATATTTTGTGTTAATAATCACTGAGAAAAAATTATAAGTAAATGACTAAACTGTGTGTAAGTATGTATGCAAGAGATGATGGGTAATGTTACTAATCAATAGGAGGTCTTTGAGGAGAATTGCTAATTCAACCTTTCTTCTGTGGAAAGTGCCGTTCAAAAGTCAGCTGGTCTGTGTGAGGAACAACTACTACATATTTAGACCAAACCTTTCATAATTTCTAGTATTAATTAAGCCCTTACTGTGTGTCAGACATTGTGCAAAGTGTGTTACATGTTAAGCTCATTTATTTCTCACTAAAAAAAAAAAAAAGATTCAATGAAGTAGATCCTATATTCTCACATCAAAGAAGAAACCATTGCTCAAAGAAGTTTAGTAATTTGCCGAAGTCATATAGTAGAATAAGAAAAAAAGTGATGTAGTAGCCTTTAGGTTCTTCGGCTTCCAGAGTCTACTGTATTAACCACTAGGATACATTGTCCTATCAGAGTCTATCATGTCTCCTTACCAGGTGTAAGGAGTCTACCCATATAAACCATAAAGTACCCCAAAATGCTGACACAATATAAAATGCACACTATAAGTTTGTGTAACTCACACTGGGTAATGTAGGACAAATCAGGAGCAAAATAATCTCTGAAAATTGTGCATATGTATGCTTATGTCCATGTATACATGGAGTTTTTTGTTTTAATAGACCTGTTGAAATTAGAAATCTTATATTTTTTAGTGATGTTTTTTCTGAGCTCCCCTATCACCAAAGGTAATCTATAGTGAAACCCTGATTGCTTCTTTAAAATAATTACTAACTTTTACAAAGTACTATTCAGAGTTTGGCAGAGTAATCATACTATTCATGGTATGGATTTCAATTCAAGGCTCCATATACTAAAATTTTATAGTATGCACAAAATTTCTGGCTGCTCGTGTCAGCCTGATCCAGAGTTACTTGACAGGATACTTTAAAACAGTTGTTGTGACTCTTTACTATTTACTATTTTTATAATTTACTATTATTATACTCATTTTATTCACTACAAGAGAATAGATTCAGTTTTAAACAATTAAAATGTAGTCTTTGTTCAGTTTATTTGGGTTTATTGGGTGCCTACTAGACAGAGAACTCAGCTAAGTGAAAGATCAATCAAAGAGATAATTCTTACATCTATTTTATGCTCTCAGTGGAGATAATTGCATGTGTAACTACAGTAAAAATCAGCATAGTATTAAGTCAGCATGATAATATAAGAATTTAGATATTAGAATAAAAAACAAAGAATTTTAATTTAGCATTAAGCTGCTTAATATTGATGAGACCCACTTTTCTCATCTATAAAATAGAAATTAGAAACAATCCAAAAGGCTCTTATGAGTATTAAATAATACAAGATAAATAATAAAACATTCATTAATATATAAAATGCACAACTATTCAATAACTACTATAAATTATGTGATAATATAAGCAGTATATAAGATAAAAATTATATTTAAATAAATAAAATAATATTGATTAATCTACAAGCATAGTGCCGGAATGAAAGACATATTTAAAATCTATTGTCTTCCTCATTTAATTCTTTCTCCTAACTAGAGAAAATGACAGGTGCCTTCAGATGAAATGACACAGGTAAAACCCATCACAGCTCTTATAGAGATTGCTTTCTGTTGTTTGGAAGTTGAAGGTGGGGGGTAAAGATAGGGAAGTTTTCATTAGAGATGTGGTATTTGATGCTCATCTTGGAGTTTGAAGTGACTGGACATGAGTAATAAGCAATGTGCATAATGGAAACCAGTGTTATATCATAAATAAACTTTGGCTTTTGAAAAAGGATCTCAATAATGGAACAGTATTAAGAAACTTCTCAAACTATTGAAGTTTAATTTTTGATTTGTGTTCTTAAATTTAATAGAAAGCTAAATGAAGAAATTATATGGGCCATAAAGACTTAAACAGGTTGTTTTCTGAAAACTAAAAATGTGATTTTAATTATTCTGACCCTAGGATCACTGAAATGGTAATCTACTCTCTCCAAAAAATTTTTGGAGATTATAGCTAACAATATGACTAATATATTAATGAAATCTGATGAGTTCAAAGAAAAAGGTAATGTAATTAAAAAGAAGTTACTATATACAAATATTTTTATCCTAGGTCATGATAATAAAAGATGCTTCAATTAACTGAACAAAAAGGGGGCACACATAGTATTTACATTACCAAAACTGGTTATTGCTTTTGCATCAGGATTTTCTTTACAGAAATTTTAAATATCCCTTTTTAAATAAATAAATTTGACTTTGCATTAAACTTATTTGACACATATAAATTTAGAATATATAAATATAAAATATATAGACATAAAAAATCCATTACACAACATTAAGAAAATAAAATACCCACCAAAGAATGACATATTGATTCTTATTATGCCATGCTCTCTTAAAGACTATAATAGTCACTTGTGAGAAACATTTTTGTATTTTTTTGAATACTCTCTGTATTCACTTTATGTGTTAGCTAGTGAAGGACCAAATAAACTTTCCACTGTAGGAACTAAAGGTAATAGATAAACCTTTAAAGAGGACAGTGAGCCAGCACCTGTGTGTCTCACTTGGTTAAGTGTTTGCCTTCTGCTTGGGTCGTGATCCCAGGGTCCTGAGGTTGAGCCTGGCATTGGGCTCCTTGCTCATAGGGGGGTCTGGTTCTCCCTCTGCCCCCGCCCCCGCTTCTGCTCTCTCTTTCAAATAAATAAGTAAAATCTTTAAAACATAAAAAAATAAAGAAGCCAATGAGCTCACACTGGGATAAAGCATTCACCTTACTGCTCAATAGAACAGTTCCCTCAATATCAAATTATTCTGAAGTATAACACCTGGGGGGGGGGAACCCAAATTATTTAAAAATAGAAATGGATACTTTTTTAAAGTAATGAAACAAGCTAAAAGTTAACCCACAACCTTGTAATGATTGATATTTCTTTTAGAAGAAAATATAAATCCAAATATACATCATACATTGCTTTTATATTACTTGTCATAAGGTTTTTAAATTTCTTACCTGAAGTTTTCAGCCAGAACCTTAATAACACTCATTCACTATTTGAAAGTTGAATTTAAATAGATGGTAGTTGGGTAAACATAATATGGAGAGAAATGTGATCTTAAAGAAGGGATTGAACAGATTTGTTTACTCCTAAGGCATTCCACTCACATTACATTACTAAGTAGATTAACCTTGTGTTAAAGGTGTTCCCTTCTATTGGTTTTCTGGCAACTACTTGCATTAAATATTGCCTTTGCTATTATGGTCTCTGCAGCCCTTCACCCTCCCCCACCCAACCAAGTATGTCTGGATATATATGAAATAATGACTGGTAATAGTTAATAATCATTGATTATTAATAAGAAATATGGTAAATATCTCCCATACCCATGCAACATAAAATTATTATTGTCACTACTAATTATGAAAATAATTTTTTTAATTGAGTTCTTTTTTTCCTGACTTGTGTAATGATCAGAGAGGATTATGTTAATTCACACAGTAGGAGCTACACCAGAAGTGAATTTCTCTGTATAAGGAAGAAACAGCTCAGAAAAATTCTGGTGTTCTTATTGATCTTTGCATCTATTTTTTAAAAAAGTTACTACTTTATGTTGGTTCATAACCCTCTCAAGAGCTTCCCTTGCGTAATCTGAAATTGGCCCCTGTATTCAGAGGGCAAGGAGATACCAAAGAAAGAGGCAGTTCGTGCCAGGTTAGCAGGTGGCAATTTTAATAAGCAAAAGGAATTTACACATGAGGCTTCTCTTGGGTGGCAGCAAGATGAATGGATCCTGGCACCCACCTGCAAAATCTTAAAAGTTTATAAAGAGGTCTTAACTGAGTTCAATCACATATATCCTGTAGGATCTTCCAAGACTACA